TATATATTAAAGAAATATATATATATATATATATAGGTTTGGGTTGAGACTTAAGTTTCGTTGTTTTACCAACTCTTCAAGCACGAGTTATAAAAAATATAACATACCGAGTCTTAGGGGAAGAATGCTAAATTACACGCAGATTCACAGCTCAAATTTAAAATAAGACAAAAGTAATATGGTCTGAATACAGAATATATATATATATGTAAAGACATTTTTATGTTTATACATTCTTTTTATAGATACAAATATTTAAGTAAATGCTCTGTTTATAATAAACAGTATTAAACAACATTTACCGGCCTTAATGTCCGAGAAATTTTCATTGAAAATGTTCTTCGTCCGACAGGAATACGAACCTGTATCCAATACGGAACCGTCATATAGCCTGACGTGCCTTAACCGATTGGGCCACAGAGGAGCGTTCGGTTAGCAAGGTCGATTTTACTGTCTTTAAACTTCAATCTTCCATAAATCTTTCACGTACATTCATATCTGCTCACTAAACTGAATTCAAAACCGTTTGTAGGATACAATGGGACACCATATCAATCATTCAAATAATCTGATTGTTCGATTGTAGGTGCCCAATTGATGGACCCTCACAGGGCGAAGGCGACAGGAGAAACTATAGCAAATTTGTGTATAAGCAAACGCATTCGCATAGAGATATATGTATCAGTATCTCTCTTCCTATATATGTGTGTGGGAAAGGTGTTTACACACACACACACACACACACACATATATATATATATATGTGTGTGTGTGTGTGTGTGTGTGTGTGTGTGTGTGTGTATTTAGGCCGCAATCCTTCTTTCATGCACATTTAATTAAAAACGACAGACAAGGTGCTTTTATTTAGTTTTTTATACAATTTCTCATGCGATCTAATTTTTTTTTTCTTTTCAGATGATAAAGTATATAAAAAAAACTATCCGAATGTTCTTTTTATCCGAGCGCTTTCGGCTATACATTTAGCCATTTTCAAGGATTATATCTTAACTGTTAAAATAAGTAGTTTGTTGTATGCATGTTTTATGAAATGTTTTCATTTTTCAAAACACGGTCAAGATATTATGTCCATGTTCAAAGTTAATATTATTAAGTGTTGGTTTGTTTGTTTTTATTAATAAGGCTTCCATTATTTTTACCTTTTTTTTTTTGCATGTAGATGATGCTATTATATTAGTGTTGTCAAAATGTTACGAATAGTGTCCGGTAGGTCTCCATGAATATTTAAATGAGATCTAATTGAGCTATGGTCAGAAAGGTGTAGAGTGAGTCTGTGTGTCAAACATGTAGTGTGGCCTAAATAATTATTTACGAATTTTGATTGATCAGGAATACAGTTCCTTAATGAGCATTTAAATCCCTAAATAATATTTGCCCTATTTATAAAACATACATACAACAAACTAATTCTTATTTGAACAGTTAAAATATAATCCTTGAAAATGGCTAAATGTATAGCCGAAAGCGCTCGTATAAAAAGAACATTCGGATAGTTTTTATATAATTTATCATCCCAAAAGAAAAAAAAAATTATTAGATAGCATGAGAAAAAAACCTCGACTCAGATTTCTGCAGAAGAAAAATTCGCCAATCGCGAGTGACGTAAATAAATCCAGTACATATATATTTAATGTTCATACGTTATAAATATTTAAGCAAATGCTTTGTTTATAATAAACAGTATTAACAACATCTGCCTGCTTGAACATCCGAGAAATCTCAAAGAAAATATGTGTCTTCCGACAGGAATCAAACACGAAATTGTCATATAGCCTGACGTGCTATACCATTTAGCTACAGAGGAAGCGCATGCTTAGTAAAGTTAAATTACTGTTTTTAAACTAACCAAACGCTCAATAGGGTCGCATTCTGGGGAGTTAGGTGGCCAGATGTAAGGAGTGATGTGGCCGCAGAAATCATCTGACAGCAATGAAAGGGTTCCCTTGCTTGTATGGCATATGACATAGGTTCTCCCAGCAGCTATCCTTATGACCCAGGGCAGGACTATTTCCTCAAGGCTTTTGATGTAGGCCTCCATGGTGAGTCTAATGCCCTCACCAACAAATTCGGGAGTTCTTTTCTCATCAGAACGATCAGAGCGAGTTTTCCGAACTACCGTAGCTTCATAATCACTATTAAACTGATCCATCTATTTCCGAATCCTCTGCACTGTCCTCAAATTGATACCCACTCTGAAATGTCCTTATTTGGAGATTCCGGCGCGAATGCCAAGCAGTACAGCATCCGATTTTCCAAATTTCCGACACAATGAATTGCTTCATGGCGGTCTTTTTCTCACAGATGGTGCCCAACTGACCCTACTCTAGGATGCAGCCGACAAAATCAATAACAACCAACGCGCATGCTCGAAATTCAAAATATAAAATGGCGACAATTTACCCATCGCACCCTATATTTACCTACGCCTTTATCTACTGTGCCATGTGTCCTTGAGGCCGGAGCGTGAAACGGCCGAAACGTT